CTATGAAGAATTTCAGTCAGGTTTCAGGCCCCACCATAGCACAGAAACTGCACTTGTTAAAATTACAAATGAGTATGCAGTAAAACACTTCCAACAGGAGTGCGCTGCATTATTTCACATTGTTTTGTGTAAAAACGTCTCAACTCTTGACATTAAAATAAAAAATATAATAAAACTAAAAAATGTAAATAAATAAAAAACTAAAAATATAATAATAAATTATAAAATATATAAAAAATAAATATATAAATACAGTAAATATGATTAAATAAAAAAAAATTAAAAGCATATTATGAATAATAGCAAATAAATAATACAACAATAAATAGATTATAATACGTAATACCTCGTATAAGTTGCTTTCAATAAAAGCGCCCGCCAAATGCATTTACATTTATGCATCAATGTAAATGCATAACTGTGAACGTAAATATCTCTTCTGGTTCATCTGTCAAACTGGAAATGCATTTGTGGGATACAATATGCTATGGAAGTTTATTTCAGTTACGCAATAAAAAAATGTAAAAAAAAGTACAAAGGTCATTGCTTTTTATCTGACAATTCAGCCTTTTTTCTTGCAATTCTGAGAAAAAAGTCAGAATCATAAGACAAAAAGTCACAACAACCTTTTTATTAATTTTATTTTATTTTTTATTCTGTGCTGGGGGAAAAAACAGGCCAGATGTAAAGATGTAAAAAAAAAAAAACCCGTAAAAATTGTGAAATGTAAAATCAGAATTCGGAGGGAAAAAATTCAAAAAGGCAGAACTGGGAGAAGAAAAGTCTGAATTGTGTCACAATTGTGAGATAAAAAGTCGCAATTCCCTTTTTAATTTTTTTACTCTCTGCTGGAAACAAAAACCAAAAGTGAGATGTAAAGACTAAAGACAGAATTCCAAGAAAAAAAGTCAGAATTGTGAGCGGAAAGGAAACATTCTTAAACTCGTCTAAATTGTGACATATAATGTTGCAATTGCACAAAAAAGTCAGAATTGTGAGATAAAAAGTTACAACTACCTTTTTTTTATTCCACTGGAAAAACAAAGAACAAAATTACAAAATGTAAAGCCAAGTTTCTGAGAAAAAAAAAGAAGAATAGCGATACGTAAACTTGAAATTGCAGGTTTATAACTAAATGCAGAAATGTAGATCTTCTAGTGCAGGGGTGGCGAACGTCGGTCCTGGAGAGCTTCAACCCTAATCAAACACACCTGAACAAGCTCATCAAGGTCTGAAGGGTTACTAGGAAGCTTCAGGCAGGTGAGTTTTAATTAGGGTTGGAGCTGAACTCTGCAGGACCGGAGTTCGCCACCGCTGTTCTAGTGTGTCTGTTTTCAGAGTTTCTGCAGGTCTGAGGAAGGTAAATGTAAGACTTTTAAAGAAAATGTAATTAATTAACTGAATGGAAATGTCAATATGTTCTCTAAATATAAATGTCTTGTTTTAGCAACACATCAAAGTTCATCACCAGGGGTTAAAGCAAAAAAAAAATCCTGAGCCTGAACTTTTTTCCGGGGCTTGGGGGTTGCGGGGACACATACACAGGGTTATTTGGCAAACAAAAAAACAAAATGATTTTCCTTGAAACTAACTAGTAACGTATCTGCCATTGCCATTAGCCCTCGACAGGCTCAGACTACAGATTATGGTGGATATCTGAAACAGCGATACCAAGAAAGGTTACTCACTACAATATGGTGCAAACACATGTAACATTTAGGATGCTTTTGATATCAAGTTTTGCTGGTTAGCTTTGTCCTTGCCAGAGTACAAGATCACCTACAATCTAAAACATGACATTTCTGAAATTGTTTTGTTCAAAAGAAATAATGGTAAATTAAATACTAGGAAATGAATATAAAATAGGAAATATACAAAGACAGCTTACTCCAGAAAACTACAGTTCAGTTCAAATAACAACAACAAAAACATCACAATGGTCCAAGAACTGGTAACTTGGGGTTCGTACAGACACTGCAAAATAAAATTTTGCAGGACTTTTAAGGACTTGCACTACTTTTTTGGTTTTCAAGGACTACAATCAGATCTCACTTATCAATCAATATTGTTATTATCTTACAAATTCTAATAAATAAACTAATAAAACAAAATGGTACAAATAAAGTGCAGCACATGCAAAGAATGCAATGACTGTGGCAACTCTAACATTTGAAAGGATACTATGGCAAAGTTATCGCT